CTTTGGGGGTCAAATGACCCTTTCACAGGGGTCGCCAAAGAACATAGGAAAACACATATTTTCAATGGTCTTAGGAACCGAGACACCAATTTTATGGTTGGGAGTCATCACAACATGAGGAACTGTATTAAATAGTCGCGGCATTGGGATGGTTGAGAAGTACTGTTTTAGAGGCGCTAGAGCAGGGGTATCAAACTTATGGCCCACGGGTCAGATGCATCACAGGCTGGCCATGCCAAGGGGAGAAAAGTTGTAATATGTCATACATAATACGTCACATGATGACAACATGATGACACAAGTTTGATGAAAGAAAAAAAAAACCTGGAGTGCAGATACTGCTACGTGCCTATATCAGGCCTGTCAAACTCCTAGCTCGCGGGCCGAATGAGTCATGAGCTGGTCATGCCCACGCCCTGTTTAGTGAAAGGGGAAAAAGTCCCAATACATCACGCCACCATGACGACACGAGTTTCACACCCCTGGTCTACATGGTGTAATTCTATCTGTTACTATGAAAGTCATCATGTAAGAAGAGGCATGTTTTCTCCTCCAAAGCTTCCTGTGTTAATTCAGCCCTTTATCATCAACTTTGCAGCAATTTGCTTTTAAATTTCTCACTTTATGGGAAGCAGTTCTGGGATTGATTTTCTTGCGTTTGGCCTAGCTTATTGGGCTGACATTGATTTAAAATGAGTACATCAGGGAGTTGGCCTCTTTCAACACAGAATCACAAGGTATTATGGTGTTGACTCTCCTTATTCAGAGAAGTTGGGAAATCATAGGAACCTTTCAATCATATGAAAAATTCCAGTATATGGCAGTTGAACTCCCTGAGTACATAATTATACCCAGTGTGCTGTACTTTGAACTTAATTATGTCTGGTTTTTTTAAATCAATCTGCAGGCTTTTGTGAGACTTTCTGATAAATAAAAACAGTATTAAAGCCATCCTATTAAAATGATGGATTAAGGAAGTTATTTATTAAATAGCCTCATCATTTTTAGATAAAGACAATCCAAGCTGGCGAGCAATGATCTATTAACATTTCTAAGAGAAGGAAAGGGCTTGATTTTAATATCGTTGTGTTGATTTGTCCACCAACAATCTCTGAGAGCATCAGAGTTCTAGGTACATGCATTCAACCCACTTAGGATTCTGGCTAAGCCAGTTAAGTCACACACACACCTGTCTCATATTAAAGGTGGACCCCAAACACACCCAACTCCCTTCCGGTCCTGTTGTCATGCTTGGCAGGGAAAGATAAGCAATGGAGAACAAATTGTCACTTGGGAAAGCTTATCAACCACTCTTCATCCTTCTTCCAGACCACTAGTGCTCCTCAAACCCTGACTTTATGCTGTATTGAAAAGAGTAGCTCTTCAGTATGTTGAAATTCTTAACTGGTAAACTCAAGCTAGTTTTTCTTACATCACTATTACACTCATGGCTGAGTGATTACAAGTGGAGCCAGCTTAACCAAGTATCGCATAACCTACTTATAGCTTTCAGGAATTTTTCAATGTTTCATGTTCTTGTCCCGATTCTATTATCAACAGCAGCACTTCATTAACTTGTGACACATTGCCTAAAAATGCCAGGGTCAAAACCACATGTTTTATCAGGGATCCATAGATCTCCTGATTTGAAGAAAACTTAATAGGAAAAGAAACCAATAATCAGCAAAATCTCACAAAAACAAAATTCCTGCAAGTCAGCTGACAGCAATGAATCAATGGAGATTTATCTACTTCTACTTCAAAAAGTTACATTCATTTTCTTTTATTCATTAACCAGTGATAACAGTGACATTATCTAGACTTGATTAGAACAGAATAGAAAATCTAATACTTTGGCCACCTAATGAGAAGGAAGAACTCACTAGAGAAGAG